GCAAACTACTATTTTCCAAATGTTATTCTTCTATTTAAAATATTGTTCATGGTAATTGGCCCATCATGAGTTTGATCAATTCAGGCTAAAATACAACTACATAGTTTTGTAACAATATAAATACAACTATATATAGTTTTGTGCAAGATATCTCACTGACAAATGTTTACACAAGTTCTGCGACAATATTATATAACTATACAACTTGACACTTTGCATGTATATGTTTTAAACGGTAAATGCAGGCAGTAGGAATATGGATTATGGTTACATTTTAAAACGATATGATTTGCCGTTCAAGCTCCAGCAATCAAAATAAAATAGTCGTTTACAAACCTCTTATCTGCGACTTTAAGTTTATTATCGGACATAATTAAAATAAAGGTAAATCAAAATCCCCAGACCGCCACGAGTATAATAACTTCAACCTTGTCACGCAAGTAAGTGTTATAATAATGACCTCATACTTTACAGTAAGTTACAATTATACGGTTGCCATACCGCTATAATTAAATTCAACACTCCTACAATGACGTTTGTTTACATTAAGGATTTCTTGTGCAACGGGTGCCGGATATCTCGCTTGCATAAGAGTCAAAAATACAAATGAAAAAATAAATAATGCAATAATTATGGGAGGTGATCAAATTCACGAGATATTTGTACGTCACGCAAGAAACAGAAAAAGAAATGTGGTGCCAAATTAAAGTGTTATCACAGAATAAATAATATCTATTCTGCGGTGTTATACCAAAGTGCCAAAAGTTGCACCATCACAATGTAAACTTCAGGGCCGGAGCTACGGGGGGGGGGGGACCCCCCCCCCAGTAATTATTCAGTCGGCAGGAGTGCTATTCAGTCGGTAGGACTGCTATTCAGTCGGTAGAACTGCTATTTGGGTTAAATATTTTTGGCGCAAAGGGCAAGAAAAATGTAAAAATTTTGGAAAAATGTAAAAAAATGTTGAAAAATTGCTATGTGCGGAAAATTTTTGAATGTTCCGGAAAATTTTTGTACGTCCGGAAAAATTTTTGGACCCCTAAAATGGTACACTGACCGAAATTTTTTTGGCGACGGGGGGGGGGAGGTCGACAAAAAAATTTTGTTCCGGAAAATTTTTTTTAACCAGTCGGTTGAATTGAATTACACCCCCCCTGAAGAATTTCCTGAGGACGGCCCTGGTAAACTTTCCAATACTATCTCGATTGTGATTGGCCAAAGGATTACAGCCGTTTCAACCTGTGCAGCATGGTCCGAGCATTGGCATATATACTGAGATGCACTCTGTCGTATTGTATTGTGTTTTTTTCTGTACGGGTTTGATATTTCTCTGTCGTATTGACAATACAATACTATTGTATTGTGTTTTTTTCTGTGCGGATTTCATATTTCTCTGCATTATCAGTCCCAAGAGCGAAATTGTTACACCATAGAGTTCGCTAGTGTAAGCGGCCGTAAGGGCCTTTGCTCGAAGTAACTCCAGACGAAGGCGAAACGTCGAAATTCTCCTTATATTTTCCAAGTAGTTGCGTCCCTCACTGGCACAGACGGTTCAAGATTATAAGACAAATACCCCCACATGTGCGACACACACCACAGGCACAGACAACCAAAGACTATCCTTCATTAAAACGGAAATGTTACTTAGAAAGTTGCTGATAGTAGCAGTTTCTTAATTAGAAGCGTATAACAAACGCGGAAAACTGCAAGACTATAAGGGGTGTATCCGACACGACAATTATTCCCGTATTGAGATGACAAGGCAAAAATTTTGATTCATAAAATCTATTTATCAACAAATTGTTACCAATGAAATAGGCCAGGTGACCTAATGTCTAACTTAATCCTTAAAGATTATTGAGGGGTGTCAACCTCTTTCCCAGCCAGTTATATTCGGTATGTTAGAGGGGTTTATGCCTATAGCCTCTCCTCCGCAGAGGCTTTTAAAACATATAGTCATAGTTTCAGCCTGAATTGCTTTCGGTCAAATAACATTGTTTCGAAACGTTTGGACCGAATACGCCAATCAATGCGTTACCCAACAAAATACTGAAAAAATCTCTGATATGCCAAATGTAATCCCAAAGTGAAACAGCTTTATGCCTTTATCCATAAAATATTATAAACCAAGATTGATATAGGGAGAGAAAACTATTTTTATTTGCATTTAGTATTTACATGCACTGTCTGCAGGGTCGCCGAGAGGTTGCGCAGGGCCCAGGGTAAAACTGTTCTCTTTGCCCTCTCCCCCTTGGCAGCCCTGTCTGTACTCTGTATAAGCATGAGTACTGAAGACAAGTGACAGGTAACATAATGAAAAATAACTATAAAACATATTGCGGATTAGATCATTTGCCCCAAATATCCAATAAAACCACAATCCTTGCACGGCTTTCAAATGGGAAAGTGCCCTTATGATGGCCCTGTGCCAACAAACATTAAATTCATTCATGTACTAATGATTAGGTGCAATAATTGCGCCTAATCATTAGTACATGAAAGGATTAACCAATTAAGTTGCGTTGTGCCCCAATGCGCGTATGCGCCTTACAGCCATACAGGCTTACTAATTTATTATTTTACTTTGTCTAACACCAGACGATTTTACTTGTCAAGAGGAGAGTAATGAGTATTAACACTCAATAGGTTGAACAGGATTGGACCATGGAAGTAAGCAATGTTTATAAAATGATAAATTCATAGTCAGGTAATCAGTGAGGCTCATTTGTTTCACAAATATCTTCTCTTGTCACATGAAAGAAAGACTATGTTTTCCATTTATATGGTTCTCCCGACCCAAGCTGATTTAAGCAGGGGACATGTAAAAGAAATTACGAAGTGAAATATTTCAAGATATTTTACAAAATATAGTGTCAAAAAAGTGTAATATTTAAAGTTAGTTACAAAATATGATGTGTATAGTGTCAAATAACTATATATGAGGTGTATATAGTGTCAAATGACTAATGACTAACGTAACAGAGTGATGCACACAGCACACAAAATGTGGAGTAGAAATATGACACAAAATGCCAAACTATGAGATTAAAATAAACAATAAATTGAAAGGCATACAAGTTGATACAACAACCACAACACAATAATGGGGAGACCATATGTTCCACAAGGATTACATTTTTCTTCTGTGTGCTGCAGGCCCGTAGCGGAGGGGCAATGCCCCCCCACTCGGTGGGGCAGTGCCCCCCAGTGCCCGCCCACTCCGAAATTTGGTATGAAAAATTGAGATAAAGGACCTGGAAACCAATTGTAATCATGGGACAAATTCTGTAAATTTTGTGGTAAATTTTGTGATGTTTCGAAAAATTTTGTTAGGTTTCGGAAAAATTTGGTATGTCCGGAAAAAATTGGTCTGTCCGGAAAAAATTTTTGACCCCTGAAATGGTGCACTGGCCGAAATTTTTTTGCAGTGAGTGCCCCCCCAGAAATTGAGAGCCAGCTACGGGCTTGCTTGAGACTTCATTATGCATAAGTTATTTGATATACAGTAAAGACCCACCAGTAGGTTAGTTAAATTAAGAACCACTATAGCCTGAAATTTTGGCAATTAAGCACCCAAAATACAAGTTTTTAAAAACTTTTTAAGTTTGGATATATGTCACAACAACCATATTAGTGTCATAGCAATAGTTTTATGCAACAGTTCCTATTTATAATTATGTAGAATATAAAAAAGTATAGTGTGAAGCAAGTCAAAATTCACTGAACTTTTATATTATGCGGGGCTTTACTGTATATCATAATCATTTTACTGTAATATATAACTATTTTTATTGCCAATTTTCTAATTGACATACAACCTATATATATTTGTAAAATTTGATATACAATACCTTGTTCGCTTGATCTTTTGACAGAAATATGTATGCGAGATCACATATCGCTAGCAAGTTTGGTACAGGTACAGGTACAGGTACAGGTACAGGTACAGGTACAGGTACAGGTACAGGTACAGGTACAGGTACAGGTACAGGTACAGCAAGTTCACAATTTACTGCTTTTTTGAAAAACATAATATGAACGGCCTTTTTTGATTTGATTTGACCAAAAGATCCCCACGAACACACACCAAAATTTATAACAAAATATAGTCGATATTTTTTTGAAAACTTGTTGTCAACTTGCCAGGAACTATTTAGGAAAGAAGCCTGGGAACAGGCGTTTAGAAAGAAAGCGGAAGTTATGACGTCACAAAACGTCATCAATCCATTGTTCTAAATACTGAATCCGAAAATCTCGAATTCTCTTCCTATCCACCCTCATTCCAATCTCGAAACCAGAGTCAGCAATCCTCTGTGGAGGCTTGCTGAGGCTCTGGGAAACACAGGCGACTTTTGCACGAAAATCAGTACATTTGGATCCAGTACTCTCGACATTTATAAATAGACATTACTGCCGTCAAAGATGAATTATGCCGTTGTTTAAGCTTATTACGACTTTAGTTCTTCAAAGAACACTTGCCATAGTTTTGAATTGTTGTAAGATACTGGTAGTGATTTATTTTAACTTGTTTAATTACGGTAAATCATGGATTGTTGTGTTATTTTAAATATTATAGGCCACGGCTTATTATGACCTTATATGGTACGGAAGCCGTGAAGGGACTTCAAACTTCAGAGTTCAGACTTCAGACTTCAGACTTCAAACATTGGTTCCGAGCTTCGCTAATAGCCAACATTTCTTCTGCGAAGCTGGCTAATATTTAAGGCACTTATTCAGTCAAAGCTATTCAAACTAAAGTTAAAAATGGTCAGAATGATTTAGATTGTAAATGCAGACTGTTGGAATGTGTCAGTGAGTTCTGACAGTTCCTTGCAGGTTTAAAGGCAGAACGATAAAACATATAATACTATTGTTGTAGAAACACCACGTAAATTTATTACTGCAGTAAATTATTAACTTTATTCTGTAAATTTATCAAGAAATTGAGAAACGTTTCGAAAAATAACTGAATTTTGAATTGAGTCATAACCTCAAGTGGTATATTGTATGCATTAGTTTTGAGCGCGTGTTATACTTAAAAGTATAACACGCGCTCAAAACTAATGCGTATATAATATACCACTTGAGGTTATGACTCAATTCAAAATTCAGTTATTTTTCGAAACGTTTCTCAATCGGCAAACAAACTTAAAAAGTATGTTTAGTGCTTTATCTGTAAAATAATGCTAAATTGAAGAGATTTTAGACTACGCCAAGAAAAGAGAAAATTACGAGAAAATTATGTCTGAAGTTCAGTAAGTTTTGCTTATATTGCTCGGCTTAAATATGGCGTCAATTTTAAAGCATCATCGATAATTGTATTTTAATTGACAATTTTTAACTATGATTTTATGTTTCTCAACTGCATGTATAAACTTAAAGAATAAAGCAAAAACAAAGTGATTCTAAGAAGAGGAACGCAAAAGCAATGTTCGCTATTAGCGAAGCTCGGAACCAATGTTTGACAATCAGACTTTGGACTTCAGACTTCGGAGTTCAGAGTTCAGACTTCGGAGTTCAGACTTCAGACTTCGGACTTCAGACTTCAGACTTCAGACTTTAGACTTCGGACTTCAGACTTCAGAGCTACCTTTTTAAATGCATTTGCCGGTTGAGAAACATAAAATCATAGTTAAAAATTGTCAATTAAAATACAATTATCAATGACGCTTTAAAATTGACGCCATATTAAGCCGGAAAAAAACTTACTGAACTTCATACATAATTTTCTCTTTGGCGTAGTCTAAAATCTTTTCAATTTAGCATTATTTTACAGATAAAGCACTAAACATACTTTTTAAGTTTGTTGCCGATTGAGAAACGTTTCGAAAAATAAAAATTTTGAATTTAGTCATAACCTCAAGTGGTATATTATACGCATTAGTTTTGAGCGCGTGTTATACTTAACTTGATAAATTTACAGAATAAAGTTAATAAATTTACTGCAGTAATAAATTTATGTGGTGTTTCTACAAACAATAGTATTATATGTTTTATCGTTCTGCCTTTAAACCTGCATAGAACTTTCAGAACTCACTGACACATTCCAACAGTCCGCTGCATTTGCAATCTAAATCATTCTGACCATTTTTGACTTTAGTTTGAATAGCTCTGACTGAATATGTGCCTTAAATATTAGCCAGCTTTGCAGAAGCAATGTTGGCTATTAGCGAAGCTCGGAACCAATGTTTGAAGTCTGAAGTCCCTTCACGGCTTCCGTAGTTTTTCCTTCTCATATTTTTTTCTTTAACTAATTTTTCCTACGATTTCCTTTATACAATACCTTTTGGTTAGATTAAGGTCAGAGTTAGGATCAGGTTTATTTCTTAAGCAGTGTATTATATCCAATTAAAATATCTTGTTTCAATGAGCCTGCCACGCAGGCTATAAACTAATAGCCTGACTAAATAGTCGAGCAAGGTGCTTCACGCCTGTTCATGGTATGGCCATTTAATATTGCTTTCCACACTTAACACATTGGAGTACAATAAATTAAGCGGGCGAAACAGAAAGATCTGGCGTGGCGTCAACCGACCACTTTCTATTGCGGAAGAGGTTATTTCGCAGCCTTGAGTGGCCTCAGTCTCTCGTAACAAAGCAACCGTTTTACTAACACTAAACCTATTCCAAACAACAACTCTAACATTAACCTAACCCCTGATCCTTTGAAGAAAAAAATTTTGACGAAATGTCATTCTGAGGTCAGCGAAATAACTTCTTCCTTCTATTGCTTGCCTCTCGTCCGCCATTTTCCCAGTATTTTGTCAGTACTTTTGGTGGTAGTGAGGACCTTGCGGCGAACTCATAATATACTCACCCGGTGTCAGTCGATTATCCCATCATATCCTCGTGTGTACCTGATCCGATTTTCAGTCGCAACGTCGTGTTATTTTTTACCCTTTCACCGCGCTCGTCACCGCGTGTCAAACGTCATTCGGACTATTTCAATGCACTTGGGTAGTATCATGCAAATAGACTATTTGCATGATACTACCCAAGTGCATAAGTTTTTCATGCACAACACAGGGCATTTCGGCGAAACGTATTTCGATCAGGTAGAACATAATTTGTTTAGCCGAAACGTATTGCATTCAGACAGATTTTAAACAGGCAGAACGCATTGTCTTAAGGCACACTAATGCAATAAACAGACACAACGAATTCTGAATGGTCGCATCGACTTGTAAACAAGTCGGCTGATATTTTTGAACCGAATACCGCTCCATAGTCATAGCCATTTGGGCAGGCGTTTCCTCTGTACCCGCCCGTCAGCTAAACGCCTGCTACGCAGGCTACGTCAGTAATCGATACCGATACCGCTGTTTGTGGTATCGCTGGTATCGAATACCGAGTACTCAGTATCGCCCATCACTAGTTTATTGCTGCCTCGTCCCCAGGCGCTAATAAAAAAAATTTCATGCGACAACCTCGTTCCCAGGGCTTTTCCCTTTTTGTCATTGGGAAGATGCGAGTCACTAGATGAAAGGTTTACATGAAGTAGTGCGTCACATTCTAGGCGCGCAAAGGGGAGTGGGATATGAGCGTTCTGGCCCATAACCCCCTGCGCTTGTTCATCGCGATGCACTACTTCATGTAAATAGTGACTTTCATATAGTGACTCGCATGAAATTTTTAATTAGCGCCTGGGGACGAGGCAGAGTTTATTGGCCAGAAAATGTAATCGACTGGCTAGGAAGATGGCGGCCAGCGCCTGAGGACCCTTCTGTGTGGATCTTTATTCTGTGACGAGGCAGCAATTAATCCTCTATGGACAATACTTTGATTTGCTCGTCAGAATCTGAATTATTAATAGAAGCAGAAAGAGAATGGATTACATCTGAATTGAAGAAATATGATGTATCCTACACCCGTGGGTTTTTACCTGACCAAAACCCTCCGGTAACATTTTTAAATTTAACTCATGATGTTTTATAGCATGTATATACAGTATATTTTTAGCCTACGTTAGGGAGTGGTCATTATTTATGGGGGGGGGGGGGTTGGTAAATGGGGAAAATAAGGATTGAAAACGTTTTTGACCCCCTTCCAGACTGAAGGCAAACTTTTTGTGCCCCCCCCCCCCAGTGTGGATTGAAACATTAACAACAATGAAGCAATGAAACAGGTGTGTGTTGCAGGTAAAGTTAGATATTAGGACAATCTGTTTAATCTAGCTCATGATGTTTTACCCTAGCTGGTGAATATAAATCAACCATATATGATTAAAATATATATATAATTATGTATTACTACTTTGCAATGTAACATTTGTCCTGCTGTTTCTCTCTAAAACCTACCCCTAATCTACAATAACCCTAACACATGGCCCATCTTCATACAGCGAAATAATTTAAACACAGGCCTTTTTTTAAGAACTTGTCTGGGACGACTGGGAGGGGGGCATCTACAAAAAGGACCATACAGAGTATATACTGAGTGTGGAGAGATGACAGATGGTTGTTGGTGACAAAAAGTTTGGTGTGTACATAATATCACCACTGGGTCACTCAAGGAGTAGGAAGCTTGTTAAACGTGGTGGGCCCGACTCCCGGCCACGTGAGGCACTACCACGATTGGCGCCGAGCAGAGAAATTTTGAAAATTTTGAGTCTCTAGATCATTGGAAATTGGATTTTCAGAGTCTTCTTTACCTCTTTGGCATAATGATTTGCGAGTCTATGCTATTTGCGATTATAGAAATCAGAACTCTTAAGGCATGGTATTCAAGTTCAAAAACTTTTTTGACCCCCCCTTTCTCTAGGTTAAAACTTTTTTGACTCCCCCTATTTATAAGGGTAAAACTTTGTTTGCCCCTCCCATTTACCAACCCCCCCTCCATAAACAATGACCACTCCCTTAAAGCCAACATGCAATATAGCTTATGGTACCATGTTGGACTTCAATATAGGGATCAGTTTCACTAATAACTATCATGCATTTACTATTGTGTGACCGATGGTTAATTTTTGTGGCTTAAGCGGCGCATGCACGGCCAGCCACCATCGATCATATCCACAAAAACAGTTTAGCTATATAGCTCAGTGATCGGAGACCCATATATTATCTATATATATCACGCATATATATTAGTATTTTAATACTGTCGTTGTAAACACAAGGCAAAATTTTTCAGCAAGCATATGCAGTTTCATATTTTGTGAAAGAATTCTTCAAATTTTGCCAATTGATCGACAAACTTGTTCTCTTCAAAGAAAATGTAAGTAATTCTTGTGTTCATTGTTATTTTCGTTTCATTTTGTATTTTTTACAACATTGTATAAAACCAAAGCTATTAAATGGTCTGCATGCTCTTGCCAAAGGTACTTTTGGTCACTGACTCCATAATAACTCAAACCCTTATGATATGGTGCTTATGATAATTACTTGCCTGCCAACTTGCAGCTTGTTGAAATTGTGCAGGTAAATTAAGAAGCAAGCCCATTGCTGGCATTATATTACACAACTGCACTATCAACTTGCAGGTATAAAACAGTCTAGACTATTTTATATTACTATGGTGGTTACAGACATGGCTCAGACTGCAAATGTGGTATTGTTGAGATCTATTGTTCAAGGATTGTCTCTCACCACAATTTCACACACAGTGCAATGGAAGCTTAGTCTGCTTACCTACAGTTGAAGGATCTTGTAGATGGAAATAATCAAATGGAAATATATTTACACTTATTATAACCTAACCAGGCTGTTGCGATTCCGCGTGCAGTTTATTTTTGGATATTAAATTTTGACATTTTCAGGTAAAATGTGCGTAATAAAGTTGTTATTTAAATGATTATATAACCATTTTTGTAAAATACAGTCAATTTAGATCCAATTTGTTTACGAATTTGAGTTAGAAATTATATAAATACCATGTGGAAAATGGTATATGAAATAGCAAACCCACAGCCATAATGTGCTGAGATCATAGGGCAGTTAGGCCAGTTAACCAATTAAGTGCCAGCACTCAGTCTCTCCCCTTGACAAGTAAAATCATTTGGCGTTAGACAGAGTAAAATAGTTTGGTGTTAGACAGAGTAAAATAATAAAGTAGGGCGCAACAGGGCACAATGCGACTCAATGGATTAAATTAATTATATCTGCATCATTTACAAAATTTCAGCATTATGATCTGCCCAACCTCGCACCCAGGGTCTTTCCTCTTGGCAAGGGGAGAAAAGACCCCGGTAGATGCTGATCAGCTAAAATCTAGCAGATTTTTAATTGCCAATCCAAGAAGAGGTCAATAAATATTTGATATTTGGATGATTTTTATAGTTTAATTTATAATTTGCATTTTGTATGATTGTTGTGAAGGAATCCAAGATAGTTAGGAATCTGCTAGATTTTAGCACATCACGTGACCAGTGTCCACCAGGGGTTTTTCTCCCCAAGAGGAAAGATCCTGGGTACGAGGTTGATGGTCCGCCTTAAATATTTTGTTCTTTTTAAACAATTTGCAGATAAAAGCACGATTCAAAATCATGGTGATGCATGACATCTACAGTACTTCAAACAACTAAGTAAACAACCTTGTTCCCAGTGCTAAGTAAACACATAGTGTGGACAATTTGCTGATAATATGGTGACTGGTGATAATATTGGATAATATTGAAAGACCAGAATATGCAAGTATCAGGGCAGTACAAGTATTAGACAAACGTTTTAGTGGTGATGACATGATCAATTGGATGAGTTCTTATAAATTCCGATGCTGTTAGATCTTACAATAAATAAAAAATGTTTAAAATCTATCTAGTATTAAATATTGTCGGGATTGCTTCCCCGACAATAAAGAAATCACTCACTCACTAACGTTTACAAAAGATTATATTTTTCGCTTCACAAATCACAGAAATATCTCGCCCTTTTTGAAATGTAAATTCTCTCACTGCCCCTCACAAAGCGTCCTCGCGTGGTAATCACGCGCGCGAACCAAATAAGGTTAAACAAAATGAACTATATGTTTTTCGTATTATAAAGTACTTAAAGGTCTCCGACACTCTCCCCCCATTGTCCACGATTAGTGGGGAATGTCAACTAAATATCCTCGTCCTCCGCCCAAAGTTTTATCTTCTCTTTCGCCAACACAGCCGCCGCTCTTCTGGGTCTGAATTCTCTAGCACGTGGGTCTAGGCTCTTTGGTTGTTCGCGATCGTCCTCCTTGGTTGACAATTCTAGAGGGTAAAGATCTTGTATCGGCCGGTCGATCGTCGTTTTCCGTGATCTCATTCGAGCGCCTCGCACCACTCCGTCACGTCCCTTAATCAGCTTCGTAACTATGCCGATATTCCATTTACCGCGATTTCTACTGTCGTTCTTGATTAACACTACTTCTCCGACCGTTGGCGTTTTAATAATAACAGTCTTTATTCATACTCAAGAACACCCGTCTGTGAGTTCACATTATAAAAATATATAAGATAAAATTATTGATATCTATAAGGTAATAACTAGATATATACAGTTATGGATAAAAATATTAATAATGTTAAAAAGGTAAAGGTTAAAATTGGTTAAACAAAGTTAAACAAACATCGATTTACAAAAGAACTTTTAAATCGCTCTGTTCTCACTAATGGAAGTTCAAACTCGTGCCCCCTTGGCCTAAGGTGTCTATTTAATTTATCTGGTAAAAGCTCCTGTAGTGCATTATCTTTATTATGTATTACTTTATCCCAAAGTTTCTTGTCCCTTTTGATGCTTATCTCCTTAATATTCAATTTTTCCGATATGTAACCATTTCTGTGAGCGCGATTGATGAATTTGCCTATTTGACTAATGTATTTATTGAAGTATGCGCCTCCCCAAAGTTCTATGCCGTAAGTGATTATAGGCATAATTAAAGTGTTAAACAGCATGTCCAGTTGTTTGATTGGGAAGCCATAGTATTTACAGACACGCATTATGTACATTCTTGCACTGGCTTTTTTCAACATTTCATCAAAATGCAAGTCCCACTTGGAAGGGAGATCCTGTAATGTAATTCCTAAGATAACCACGTCCTTCGTTTAATAAATGGAAAAGGATCAGGCAACAGCGTAGGGATATTTCTCCTAACAATCATTTCATACGTCTTTTCCATATTTAAGGACATTTGATTATTTTCAGACCATGTTTGTATACTGTCCACTTCGGCTTGGGATGTATCTCCGTTTTCATTCCCTGGTACTTCTAATGTCATGTCATCCGCGAACTTAACTAACTGGTTTATGGGGTTAACTGTTTTGATGTCATTCACCATGATCGAAAAGAGGACAGGACCCAGAACTGTTCCTTGGGGAACACCTCGATTAATGTTCAAGTATTCAGTTTCTATTCCATCAACCACTATCCTCTGTTTCCTATCCTCCAAAAAACTAATCAGCCAATTAGTAACATATGGGTTGATGGGGAGCTTCTCAAGCTTCTCACATAAAATATCGTGTGGAACGCTATCGAATGCTTTGCGAAAGTCAAAAGATAATACTCTGACATATTTTGCATCTCCTTCTAACCATCTTAACCATGTGTGTTGGCACTTGATCAGAGCCATAATCGAATTGTGACCTTCCTTGTATGCAAACTGATCTGAATCAATAGCGTGTCTTGTAACATGTGCTATCTCAGTTTTAAACACACTTCTTTCAAATAATCTCATTATAATATCTGTTAAAGAGATTGGTCTTAGTTGATTAAGAGAGTTTAAGATAGATTCTTTAGGTACTGGTAGTACATTTGCATGTTTCCACATTTTAGGAACTTTGCTAAGTTTCAATGAAGTGTTAAATATATTTGTTATGGTAGGGGCAAGCTCAAATGCAAATTCCTTCCAAAACCAGTAAGGTAGATCATCTGGCCCGGATGCTGTTCGTTTTAGATTTTGTAAAAGGTGTAGAGTAGTATTTATAGAGAGCGAAGGAACCCTGGTGCCATCAGGGATCTCGACAGGTTCTGGAGCCGCGTACTGAGGATCCGAGTTTATACTTTGAAAGTATACATTTATCTCACTAGGATCAAAGGCTGCACTGACAGATCGACTCCGATTATTTCTTCCTGTAATACTGTTCACATTGGACCACCACTGTTTTGATCCGGTTTTCTGATTTTTGTTCTCTTGTTTGACGGCATTTAACTGGTTCTCTCGAATTAGCTTGTTTATCTGGTCTTGTAAACGAGCGTGAGATTTGGAATCGCTCTTCTGTATAGCTCTTTTCCTTTGCTTTAGCAAATGCTTTACAAGGGGTGACATAAACGGTGGGTCACGTGAAGAGGTTCTAACCTTAATTAGTGGGAAACACTTTTCAAATATCGGCCACATCGTTTCATAAAATTTCAGCGTCATTTCATCTGGAGTTTGCCCATCCTTGGTTATCATATTCCAGTCTACAGTTCCTAATTCATATAACATATTTATTTTCTTATGTTGTCTTACATCTCTAAAATAGGAACTTTTTCTTTCTGCTTTAATTACATCTCGGGGATAGGTTATTACCATATCATGATCAGATTTTACTAAGCTTTTCACTACTTTAACTTTTTTCCAATCGTGAGGAGCGTTCGTAATGAAGACATCAAGTATATTTTGACACCTTGTGGGAACTTTAACAAGTTGGATGAGCGACAGCTGATTGAGCAGATTTCGAATATTTAATTTATTGATATCACCCGCAATGATTATTCTGCAGTTTGGTTTAACAGACAGTATTTGTTCGCATGTGTCTATCAAATATTCAATTAGGTCATTCTCATTATAATCGTGATCAGGAGGGTGGTATATAGTTCCAACATAGACATTCGAGTTTTGTGTGTCAATTTTTGTCCATAAACATTCAAACAGATTGTCCGAGTTTGGCATTATCTGCATTTTCCAATCATTTCTACAAATAGTCGCCACACCGCCCCCTCGACAGTTTTTTCTGTCTTTTCTTATGATAGAAAAGCCAGCGGGACAGACAAGATGATCAGGTATAATTGGTTTCAGCCATGTTTCAGAGATACAGCATATGTCAATGTCATTACACTTCAGATCCGCATACAAAGCGAGAAGGGCATCAGGTTTTACTAGGGATCTAGCGTTTAACACTAGACAACGCGGAATTATACGTGGTAAATTTAAAGCTGTTTTATCGATTTGTACAAATTTCAGAACACGATCACGCTGATGAGGTATCATACGAGCATGTTTTTTTCGTCTTGTAATTCTCACAGGAATTTTATTACTACGACAAGCTGACTGAGACATACAATTGGAACCATTTAAGAGGCTGTCTCCGTAAAAACCTCCAGGTCACTATGGGGCTCAAAAATAGATTTCTCTCATACTCTAGTATTTTGAAGATCTATCCTTGGGAACAACTAAAATCGATGTCATTTTACTCAAATTTCCTTTAAATTATTTTTGGGGGCGATTGACGTTCGATCGACTGGTAACCAACTTGATACTCCGAATGAAGGCCAAATATCGACATATTTTCAGCGCTATTTTTCAAATCAAAAAAATACCTAAATTTCAAAATTTTTGCTCAGAAATATAGACTTATCCTTCTATTTTCGTCGGTGATACAACTTAGATCATTATTCTTTGGTATAAAATAGAAAACAGCGCAGTTATTGGCCCTCCCGAACGGATAAAGGATATCGTCTCAAAATATGTCAACTTCGAAAGCTTATTTCAAAATCGTGGCACTTGATTGGCACATGACTTTAACTTTTCTATAAACTACTAACATTAGTCAACACAAATCGCCAATAATATCTTTCTGCTCTACCATTTTACAAAAATGACAAGCTTTGTAAAACAAACAAACTTTGTAAAATTTGAAAATGTGTCGAAATCGAGCATACTTTATTGGTAAACATAATTATTGATATTAACAGATAAAATCACATTACACTACACTGAATGAAGCTTCATTATGTAAATACATGTCTTTCATCATTATTCTTTGGTTTGGCGCTTGAATCAAATTGTTTGAGTACAGTTTGGCTTCACGGATAGAGTCATTCAATGCCAGTGTGTCTAGTGTCTTCTGCGCGCCTCAATGCCACGAGTCCTGATTGTGACATACTATACAATCTTCGCCCTGTTCGCTTTGTTTACCTCTTTAACAAATACATGTTTAACAAATAACAATATTCAATGAAATTGGAAAACTCAGAATTAGTCATACTACAGACAGAATTTTCATCGTTTTAAACTGTTTTATAAAAGTTTCGTTAGAATGTACGAATTAAATCTCGGGGAAAACCCCGGGCAATGATGTCAAATGTCAATATTTCGTTAGTTTCGCTCAGTATAGTTTTCTAGCAACTGAATTGTCTCTAGGTTTAGAAACAATTATCAATGAAACTAGAATTCAAGTAAGTCACGGTTCTGTATAAAAAATCAACTTTTCCAGGCTGACCCTGGGTCACTTTGCTCAAGGCTATGCTTCAAGAATTTATATTATTTCTTATTGTATAAAAATATGCGAATATTTTGATATAATACAAGCGCAAACAGCTGTAACCCATTTGAACGTCTCAGTTATTTAATCAATGTTATTCCTTTTTTCAGTAACAATTAGAAAGGTTCTGAAAATTAGAATTAATTTATATTCTTCTTTCCGACAAGCTTTAAAGGGTGACAAATTTGCAAATGATAACTAATGTCATTCTTACACGCCAGCAACTTCGAAGAACAGTCTACTGTGTCTCGGAATTTTCCACACTCAGAAGTAGAAAAAGAACATTTCTACATTATTGTTTACCGTCATTCTCGATCATCTGTCAACATAAAATCTACTGTCTGTCGAAATCGTTTAAGGCCCTGTCACACTATTGCGTATCGTACTAGCGTATGCCAGCGTATGAAAAATATCACTCATACGCCGGTATACGCTGACATACGCTAGGGGTACGCTAGGCATAGGTTATATACGTTTCAAGCACGGTCGCATACGGTTGCATACGCTGGCATACGCCGAGGCAGAAACTTTTTTTTAAGCATGTTCAAAAATTTTGTGCGTATTGGACGTATGCTTTATAAGATAAGCATACTTTAGGCACACGCTGAATACGCTAGAGGTACGCCAGATGTGCGGTACTCATACGCTGGCATTTCAAAGGATTTTTGTGCGTATGAAAATGATTTCATTAATTTTCATACGGTTCTCATACGTTTCTCTCATACGCAATAGTGTGACAGGGCCTTAACGTTGCATGATCACAAATTGCGGCTGTAGTAGAAGTAAAACACCATTATTGTAAACACAAAAACCTCGTGCAATACTGTCTAAGACTACTATTTAATTCAATACAAAGAAAGGGAAATCAGAGAGCAACGAAACATTTCATCGTCATTTGATTGACATGTTTACGCTCAGCGAGTACATTTCTTTCGGTTAGGAGTTTTCCCCGAGATTAATTCGTACATTCTATAAAATGAAACTTTATATAACAGTTTAAGGTAAACAAACCAATGAAAATTATGTCTGTAGTATGACTAATTCTGAATTTTCTAATTTCTTTGAGACATTTTATTTACAGGAGGTAAACAAAGCGAACAGAGCGAAGTTCGTATGTCACAATCAGGACTGATGCCGTCATGGCATTCAGGCGCGCAGAATTTGAACACACTGGACACACTGGCATTGAATGACTATCCTTGAAGCCAAACTGTACAGTCAAACAATTTCATTCGAGTGCAAAACCAAAGAATAATGATGAAAGACATATATTTACATAATCAAGCTTCATTCAGTGTAGTGTAAGGTGGTTTTATTTGTTAATATCAAGAATTATGTTTACCAATAAAGTATGCTCGATTTCGACACATTTTCAAATTTTACAAAGTTTGCGCGCTTGTCATTTTTGTCAAATGGTAGAGCAGAAAGATATTATTGGCGATTTGTGTTGACTAATGTTAGTAGTTTATAGAAAAGTTAAAGTCATGTGCCAATCAAGTGCCACGATTTTGAAATAAGCTTTCGAAGTTGACATATTTTGAGACGATATCCTTTATCCGTTCAGGAGGGTCAATAACTGCGCTGTTTTCTATTTTATACCAAAGAATAATGATCTAAGTCATATCACCCGCGAAAACAGAAAGATAAGTCTATATTTCTGAGCAAAAATTTGGAAATTTAGGTGTGAATTTGATTTAAAAAATAGCGCTGAAAATATGTCGATTTTTGGCCTTCATTCGGAGTATCAAGTTGGTTACCAGTCGATCGAACATCAATCGCCCCCAAAAATAATTGAAAGGAAATTTGAGTAAAATGACATCGATTTTGGTTGTTCCCAAGGATAGATCTTCAAAATACTAGAGTATGAGAGAAATCTATTTTTGAGCCCCATACTGACCTGGAGGTTTTTACGGAGACAGCCTCTTAAGTCGCGTCTTATCCAAGACGCGACTTACAGAAGAATTTTGTACATTTATACGAGAAACTCGCGTCTTATTTAAGTCGCGACTTATTTTGTCCCGCGTATAAATGGCCCTATTAATTATTTGCTTCATGTATATATAGCCACATACTTTCATAGTTCGTTAAGGCTTTTGTTAAAATATTTTATAAAAATATTTATATATATATATATATATATATATATATATATATATATATATATATATATATATATATATACAGTTACTAGATGGAAACTTTGTTCGGTTTTTTATTACTGTACAAAATTTCAGACAATTTGGTTTAGTTTAAGCCGTTTAACTATTCATTTTATTCTAAAAAATCAGCCTTTCGCATGCTTAATTAATGCATTTACCTAATTTGCATATTGCTAACATATGCAAATTAGGCAAATGCATTAATTAAGCATGCAAATAGCTGATTTTTCGGGAAAATTGTAACTTTGCGTGAATAGTTAAGGGGCTTAAACTAAACCAAATTGTCTGAAATTTTGTACAGTAATTAAAAACCCGACAAATTTTCAATCTATTAACTCAAAATATGATTACAGCTTTTAAATTTTGTGCGCGAGCCATTTTTAATTTGTTGGAAAAGACACACCCCCCTGGTTCACAAAATTTGAGTTCAAGAAATTTTTTTCATTATTCTACATTATAAGTACCCAAAGAAGCTATATATATAAAAACCGGATACAAATAG